AAAGGTATGGAAAAAAATACAGCAAGTTTGAAATGGTTGTAGTTTATAAGTATTTTACTAAATGTGACTTTTATTAGCCTGTTTCTTTTCCCCATTTTGCTTAAAACTCCAGTATTATCTTTATGCCTCATCCTGTCTTCATTTAACAGCAGGAGAAAGTGCTTCAGACCACTTCATTTTCCTAACTCTTCTGCTATGAGGGAGCATAAAAAGATGTTGGGGTTGGCGGGGTGGGGGAGGTAATGCTGCTTTGGAAATGGAGCTGAAATCAGTTCCTTTAAGCTACCGGGCAACAGGAGGAGAGGGTGTCAAATAGGAGGGAGGTGGACCTTTTTGCCTAATATTGTCTCAAAGCTAAACATAAAGAGTTTTGATTATTAGAGAGGGAAATAGTACAATTGAGAGATTACACATCAGTTAAGAACAAGCAAGGGTAAGGACTCTTAAAACCCGAGCCTTCAGAGGTAAGATATATGTATCTAAAAAGCTGAGTATTTATACAAAAGTACACTGTTGATGTGGACATTCACGGAACCTCCAGGGAGGACAGCTATGACTATGTACAGGAGACCCTCCATATATCTGCCAGTTCCACATCCATTAATGCTTCGACCTCAGATAAAAAATATTCAAGGGAAAAAACTCCAGAAAGTTCCAAAAGCAAAACTTGAATTTGCCATGTGCCAGCTATTTACATGGAACTTATATTGTATTTGCCACTATTTACATAGTATTTATACTGTATTAGGTATTATAAGATTAGAGATAATTTAAAATCTATGAGAGGATGTGCATATGTAAACATCAGTACTATGCCATTCCATAAAAGGAACTTGACTGTCCACAGATTGGGGTATCCTTGGGGGGCCCTAGAACCAATTCCCTGTCCATACTGAGGGACAACTGTATTCATATCTTGAAGAATTCCATTATAACTTCAGGCACTAGTCAGGAGAATCTGATCTTTATATGCCAGTTTAATATGCAGGCCACGCTGTTTCACCTTCCCTCCATTTTGTCACGCAGCATGGGGGACAGTAGTTGTCCATTTAAATGCGAGCATTAAGACACAGGAAGTACTTCTACGATACAGAACACTGATCTGTAACAAAGTGTCTCTTCACTGTCCCTCTAGAGTGCATAAGGAAATTTGCATCTAGGTTTTAAAGACAGTTCATATAATTGTTGTATCCGTGAATGGTCCTGTTTAAACTGAAAATAAGGTATTTCTTTTTTCACAGCAAGATCACTCAATGCAAAGGTGTTGGATGAAAACTTCAAACCTGCCTCAATGCAGCAGTCCTTAGGATACCTCTCTCAGAACCAAAGACTATCACTGGACAGCTCCTCGTATTTTTTATGCATGGGGTCAATGTGATCATAACTGGGGAAAAAACTGCTTCAACTAACATGCTGAGCTTTTTTCTTTCCCTCCTTAATGTGAAAAATCAAGGGCTTAATTCAGTGACACAGAAACAACAGAAAAGCTCCTGGAACTTTCAACAAGTTACTTCAGTACAGGTTCGATTTTTTATCAATAAATATTTTTATATTGACGTTGAGTGATGTGTTTAATAAATTTTGAGTGATAACTTTGCTTCAGTCCTGCAGGGTCGATGAACTGCTGCTTAGTGAGCCTTACTGACAGTACTGACTTAGCATTAGTCTGGGAAGGTATGGAACTGTGAAGGTGGTTTTATTTTACATAAAAGTATGTGAATATACAGATGAATTCAAATTTATAACCTTTGTGAAAGCAATAAATCTGATTAAGAAGGGAATTTACAAACTTTGTATTCATGTTCACAGTAGAATGGGTATATAATTTTAGAGGGAAATATTCTTTACCTCTGGAGAATGTATACTCAGATTTTACAGATAACTTTTTAAAAACTATCTCATTTAAGGAATAATTCACATGCAGCCCTAGGAAATAAAGACCTCCTCTCATTGTGTCACATCCTGCCTTCCTCCTGTCCACCTGGAAGTTCCTGCCAGCCTGCAAGGCTTATTTCCTGCTGTGTACCTGGCTTATCCTCCCCTCAGTACACTAACCATTAAAGCCGTCAGCCATTAGTTCCCACTGCTGATTAGTCATTAGGAAGTCCAGTCCTCTATCACAGGCTTTCGCGTTGTGTGTGTGGCTCAGCCCTGTCCGACTCTTTGCAACCACATGGACTGTAGCCTGCCCGGCTCCTGTCAATGTGATTTCCCAGGCAAGAATACTGAAGTGGGCTGCCATTCCCTTCTCCAGGGGGTCATGGAAACTTAAAACAATCATACATAAGAGGAATTCTAGATCCCAGGAGTAGGACTTCCTTGGTTGTGCTTTTCTAATAGCACAAGGCAAGAAAAAATGTAGCTGTGATTGTAACTTGAATTCAAGTCCCTCCTCTGTCACTTAATTACCCGAAACAGGCCATAAACCTCTATCAGTTTCTTACCTGTTTGTTACTTGGAGATGATAGTCTTTATCCAACAGGGCCTTTTAAATGAAATATGTCATTTATGCTGCTTACCGTAAGAAATGGCATTTGAAGCATCCTAGATTATCAAGGAAGAGGCTTCAAGGGTGAAAATAAGGTTCCTGGTCATTTTGAGCTACTTAATAGGGACTAGAGCCTGAATTAGGCCTTCCTTATAAAAGAGGCACAGGAGAAGAAGTCTGGAAAGAGATATATGAGGTCAGTGTAGCCTTGTTTTAACCTGAAACCTCCCTTTTCCTCACCCGTAGGGAGACCACGGCCTATGGGCAAAGAATCTTTAAATGGTTGGGAGAGGCGCAGCGTGGCAATCAGTTTTGTTAAACACATGAAAATCATGAAATTTAAATTTCCCCGTGTGTAAGTCAGGTTGGAAGGTAGCCATGTTCATTTGTTTACATCAACAGAGAGCAGTCCATGGCTGCCTTCTCGCTGCAAGAGCAGAAGGGTAGAGAGACACAAACCACCCGGCTGGTGGGGGCTGACATGACTGGCCTTTATAGACAAGGCTCGCTGACCGGCACGCTGGGGGTCAGTTCATTCATGGCTCTTTCCTTCTGACTGAAAAAATTCTGCCACACTGGATGGATGTTTTCCTCAGTCCCAGGAAATGAAAACAATCACTTATCAACAATAACTTATCAACTTATTGACCAGAGCTATATTAGTACATCTTTTGTTACCTGGAATGTTTCAATATTCACTTCCCTAACAAATTGCTGGCCACAGGTGGTCGTTTCTGCAGAAATCCCTGGGTCAGTAATGTATTTACAATCACTGCGTGCCTGGGTGACTGTACATCTTGTGACTGCTCCCACTTACTACACCTGCCAGTGTGTGCACTAGTCTTCTCCCTCAGTGCCCTGCAAGCTCCGGCGGAGATCGTTTGCTTGACTGCTGACAAGCTTGGTACACTGTCAGTACTTTGGAAATTGAATGAGCAAAGTGAAATGTTTTAGGGTATCTCTATCCCAAAATATTCTTGGAAATACTGACTTTATCATTAATAATCTTTGTGGTTGACAAAGCAGTTGTTACTGGCACACCAAACAGCAACACTTCAGTCAGACCTCATACAACCCCTCCTTCCCTGCATAATCTGATATATATATATATATATATGCAATTTTATAAGCCCTTTTTATAAGTAACATGCTGTGACATTTAAAGTGCCATCTCTAAGCTTTCTTTGAACCCTAATGTGTTATTTTCAGGGAGATATCCGAACTGAAGGTCAAGGATTGATGATCACACTTATCTGGTATTTAAAAAAATAACTATTTTCCCAGTCAGATAATATTCTACTTCACCTTCCTTCACCAAATTCCCAGTCACATCTGTTTCAGTTCAGTCGCCCAGTTGTGTCCGACTCTTTGCGACCCCATGAATCGCAGCACGCCAGGCCTCCCTGTCCATCACCAACTCCCAGAGTTTACCCAAAATCACGTCCATCGAGTCAGTGATGCCATCCAACCATCTCATCCTGTCATCCCCTTCTCCTCCTGTCTTCAGTATTTCCCAGCATCAGGGTCCTTTCCAATGAGTCACTTCTTTGGGGGCCAAAGTATTGGAGTTTCAGCTTCAGCATCAGTCCTTCCAATGAACACCCAGGACTGATCTTTAGGATGGACTGGTTGGATCTCCTTGCAGTCCAAGGGACTCTCAAGAGTCTTCTCCAACACCACAGTTCAAAAGCATCAATTCTTCGGCTCTCAGCCTTCTTCACAGTCCAATTCTCACATCCATACATGATCACTGGGAAAACCATAGCCTTGACTAGATGGACCTTTGTTGGCAGAGTAATGTCTCTGCTTTTTAATATGCTGTTTAGGTTGGTCATAACTTTCCTCCCAAGGAGTAAGCGTCTTTTAATTTCATGGCTGCAGTCACCATCTGCACACCTGTTTAGGGACCACTAATAAAATGCAGGTTTTTAATAGTAGAGGAACACAATGTAAGTTGTGGCCATTGTGTGCAAGTTGCTCAGTCATGTTCGACTCATTGTGACCCTTCCCCCACCACCTCCTGCCCCACTGACTGTAGCCCACCAGGCTCCTCTGTCCATGGAATTTCCCAGGCAAGAATACTGGAGTGGGTTGCCATTTCCTCCTCAAGGGGATCTTCCCAAGCCGGGGACTGAACCCACGTCTCTTGAGTCTCCTGCATTGGCAGGCAGATTCTTTACTACTATGCCACCTGGGACGCCCTAATATGAGGTAAATTAAAGATGGCAGAGGAAATTACAGGCTGAATTCCCTGACAGCTCTTGACTTCACTGTCTTGAAATCTAAAAATTGCCATCCCATACAGTGACAGCTTTCAAGACTTAGATTGTTCCTTGCTTCTAAAAATGTTATATTTTCTCCATAGGAAAATTAGTTTTTTTCTGTCAATAGTAGATAATCAAATTATGCAAGACTCATCTCCTCTTCAGTGAGCAGGTGAGTGCTCCCTTTCAGAGATCTTCACAGATCCCTCAGTTGCTGTCCTGCCACTATGTAAGTGATGGTTATTCAATTGAGTTTTTCTGCATAAATAGTTCTTTAATCCTGAAAGAAAGCAGTATGATGGGACAGACACAGTCAACAGTTCAATAAAAATGCAAATTTTAAAAATTATTAAAATGTACTTAGAAGTAACAAACTGTATCAGACACTTCTTAGGTTTACAAGTGTTCTCTCAAGATTCTTTTTGTTTTAAAGGAAACCAACCCTTGAAGTTTTTTTGTTGTTGTTGACTGTAGCTATTTTTGAAGCTTCTTCTTCTTTCTCTCTGGTTCATTAATGTCCATGTTTGAAGCATCAGCTGAAACGCTTATTCCTGGTATCTAAAGTAATGCAAAATGGGAAGGACAGGTGAGTAAAAGCATAACATAAGGAAGAAACCTCCATCTAATCTTCCTCTTCTTCACTGACACTTTGAGGTTCGAAAAGATGGAGGGATGGTGGAGGCAAGGGGAAACAGTAGGTTTTCCACACAATGTACAAATGTATGTATATCACATGCAAAGGAATAGCGGTTCAGAATTTAACAGCAGACATGATCTCAACAGACAGAAGCCTGTCATTTGGAAAGCGTGTGTTTAGCTATAACACATTCAGCTTCTCCCACTGAGAGCCACTGTCAGCCTTACAGGCCTCAGGTGTGGTGGGGGCAGAACCAAGGTTGAGATCCAATGTCTTAGGGTGAATCACACTTTAAACTGCTTATCAAAAGTGCAGATTTCAAAACTGATAAAAATGAAGAAGAACTAGGCAGATCTCAGAATTCCATTTGTGGAACCAAGGAACTCAGAAGCAGCCCAGGTGCCTGGGTTCCTGCAGCCTAGGGAAATCAGTGAGAAAATAGGATTTCCTCTGTAGATACCTGTCCTGCACACAACTTTTAAGATTCTATAACTAAACAAATACCTCAGGACTGTATCACTCATTTCACAAAATATGTACTGTTTATTCCACCACAACATGAACAGTGTAAGTCTGGTCTTACCTGTGGTTCTACCAGGGACATTCGGATTTTCTGATGCTGAAGATTGGATGAGTCTAACATGATTTTCACTTTAACTTTATCAAATACATGAAATACTGTATCTTCTATTTTAAGTGATGGTATCTAAACAAAACACATTTTACTATTTTTAATTGCTTTCTTCCACTTGAAGCTTGGTTCTAATTCTTTATAATTTATCTTCCAAATTAAAAGTTTAAATTTAAAAGTAACTTCAATATTTAATAAGCACCTAGGTGTTTAACATAACCAAAACCTCTAACCTAACACCCTCACATATACAAATGACCTATTTATATGCACACTTCTCCCACTCTGTGGTCCCAATATATTATTCATCAATCGCAGGATTTTCAACCCTTTAATTAGCAAATTATTGGTCTTGTACAGGGGCACACAGGTAATTCGGCAGAAATTTGTTTTGTACTTCTACTAATCAGGGAAGTAGGGAGTGTGTCAGGTAAAACACACTGTGAACTGGATGAAAAAATTCCCTTCTTGGAGCTATCAACAGCCATTTATGCCTTTACTTTAATCCATTTGTCCACCAGGAACAAAGCATAATTCAAGTTTTCCTTAGAAGGGAAAACTTTATAGAGTAGAAAGAAATTAATAACTTTTGTATAGGAGAACATATACTGAGGTGAGAAATTGTGAGTAAAACGCTAAGCTTAGTAGGCATAAAATTCTGTAGGGTACAAAAATAATTTTACCACTTGCAACCTACTGAAGACAAAGTGTTCCCCACTCCCACCAAAAGAAAAAACCCAAAATAAAACCATCAGAAATACTGTACCTCATCATCATATATAAGCCGTGGCTTTGGTTTGTCCTTTTCTTCAAAAAACACTGTACCTTCTAAACCATACTTTGGAATTAATACCACAATAGCATTCTTTCTTACAAACAGAATATAAGCTTCTTCACTTACTATTCCTTTGCTTTTGAAAAATAACTGTAAAAGAGCAGACAACCTTATTAAGGATTACCTTAAAGTATTTTGAAGTTAAGAAAAAAAAAATTCTGCAGTCAAATTAAAAGTGAACAAAACTTCATTTCTGCTAACATTAGTGACAGAAGGCAAATACCTGGGTATGAAAAGCCACAGATGCACGCTGAGCATACTGAGCCATTTTGTGCCGGAAATTGAGATTTTTACATAAATCTGCAAGCTTGTGTTTGTCGGTCAACTCTGGATAAGTACAGTCAGCTCCGATAGCCACAGCCAACAACCGATGAACAATGATGTCTGCATATCTAGACACATAAAGAAAAAATAAGAATCGTGCCATGTTAGCATTTAAATATCTTTTTACAGTTCAAAATAAAGTATTTTCTATCTCTCATTTGTTAAGGAGAAAAAGTACCTTCGGATGGGTGAAGTAAAATGTGTGTATATTGGGGATGCTAAGCCATAGTGATGAAAATCATTGTCCATTCCAGAGCAGAAGTACACAGCTTGCATCATACAGCGAGTTGCTAATATTCTTAACAGGGTGTTTAGATAAGGGAAAATAGGTGAATCTGCCCGGTCCAAAGAGTCAGCTAAAGCCTTGGCTGTATCAGTTTTAATTTCCAAATTCTGTGAATAAAGAACAGGGAAAAGTGTTAGTTGCTCAGTTGTGTCCAAGTCTTTGGGACCCCATGGACTGTAGCCTGCCAGGTTCCTCTGTCCATGGAATTCTCCAACAAGAATGCTGGAGTGGGTAGTCACTCCCTTCTCCATAGGATCTTTCTGACCCAGGGATCAAATCTGGTCTCCTGCATTGCAGGCAGATTCTTGACCATGTGAGCCACCAGAGAAGCCCAAAGAATAGGGGAAAAGGATCAAATTAAATATTTTAAAATTAGTACCAGCCATGCCTTCAAAATAAAACTTATCAGGCTGAAAAAGTATGGTGTCTTCTGACCAGGTGATAAGTGTTTATGCCTTTTATCCTTATCTAGGAGAACTGAAAATAAATTGAGGAACAGTCATAGTGGTTTTGTGTAGTACCAAACCTTAAATTTTTCCGAATTCATTTGAAGGTACTGAAGCACCAACATTCTCAAGGGGGAGAGAATAGTGGGGGCAGTAGTGCTACCTCTCAAAGTCCAACTGTACTTGCCTCATCTTTGCTGGCGTAGAAAAACATCAAAGCAGATCTGGTTCCGTTTCCGCATGTTAGGGTTTTCTCTACAGACCCTTTCCCTCCATTCAGTGTAGAAGTAAAGGCCAGAGGTATTGGTGACTACAGCTCAACATGATGATACAGCAGTTAACTGCCTATTCTACTTTGCGAAATGAGGCAAAAATACATAAACTCCTTCCTCTACCCAGGTCACACAAAGAAACAGGAAAATAAGAGAAAATTCTCCAATTTACAGAGTAAGCCTTGGAGGAGAGGAGAAGCTGATACTGTTCTAATGGATACAATAGGAGCCGGCCCACCATAAAGGTCTGAAAAATGAGAAACCAGCATCCTCCTGTCAGAATAATGCTCTGAGATCCAACACCCTTTCTTCCCTCTCTTCCGGACAGGAAAGATGTGGCCTGAGCAAGTGATCCAAAGAAAACCAATGTAAGCCATAGTCACCCCAAAAGCAGAGGTAATCATGTCTAAATAAAAGTCTACTAACCAGAGGCAGGGGGTATAAGGGGCTGAGGAAATGGGTTCCCCTTTCTATGTTTTTCCTTTTTTTCATGTTTGCAAAAATGGACTTCTTTCTTAGGGATGTGAAATAAAGAGGACTGAAGTGAGTTGAAGATAAAGAGGAAAAAAAACAACCAAGTCTTAAGAGGTCGGCAGTTCAGAGACATGAAGTAACACAGGTATGAAGAAAATGCGTAAAAGCACAGAGATATGGAAAAGTTTAATATGTTCAGGATATTATAAATAACGTAGTTTGGAACGTCTGGCTTTAGTATAGGGCAAATGATTTCAATGTGTGAAGAGATGACCATACCCAAGTTAGATGATTTCTTTAATGAAAAGAATTACTGGCACATTTTTGCATCAGGAAACAACAGAACTTTTATGGAAATGTGGCTATAGATTATTCAGTGCAAACACTACATCACAACATGAATACAGATGATGTTTCTAGCTATGGAACCATACCTTGGATTTAGCTGCCTTAACAAGAATTTCGTAATTTGATGGAGGAGGAGCAGGATGTTTTCGAAGCAGAGCATGCTCAGAAAATTCTTCATGAATTTTTTTTGCAACAGAGATATTGGCAAGTAACATAAATTCTTCCACCATGGAATTTGTTTCTCTGCCAAATGAAAAGACATTAAAGAATGAGATTTCTATATATCATTCACAAGTTATTTTTTTCTGTCAATGAGATAATGAAAATTCCTATGCAAACATTCATGTGTGTATACACATGAGCAGTTTTAAGAAGTAAACATCCCTTTCACTTCTCAGTTACTATGCTAACAAATCTCTTACAGTTCACCTATTGCATGAGTAAATCTTATGCTAAAGGATATTTTATAAAAAAACAGAAGCTTTACTAACTCTAGTAACATGTAAAATCTAAATCGTAAGCATTTTCACCTCTTTACACTGAGTCCAAAGAGATTTTTATTTAATTCTGTATCTACAGAAATACAGTTTTCTAAGAATTAAGAGCTATTTAAGTCATATCAATATTGGCTTAAAAAAATGGAAACTTTCACCAATAAATCCCCCAAATGAAAAGATATTTAAAATAGTTATTTTGGGTGCTTATGATGTCCCAGGCATTGTGCTATAAGTGCTGTTTACATTGTGGTATGTGTGCATGTATATGAATATAGGTATTAGTCCTATTTTGTAGATGAGAAAACTAAAGATGTGTAACATTAATCTCTCGCTAAAGGTCAGAATTACTAGAGTAACAGGATCTGGGCCCATTATGACCTGACTTCAAAACTCAACCAATTTGATACTGTTTTTCATCAAACACAGTAAATGATTTGTGTATAACAAAATATTAGTAAATGATCTGTTGTTTTTTAATAATTTTATTTATGTGTTTGGCCGCACTGGGTCTTCATTGCTGTGAGCAGGTTTCCTCTAGCTGCAATGAGTGGCGGTTATTCTTTGTTGTGGTGCATGAGCTCCTTGTTGTGGTGTCTTCTCTTATTGCAGAGTATGGGCTCTAGGGTGGGCAGGCTTCAGCAGTTGTGGCTTGCAGGCTCTAAAGCACAGGCTCAGCAGTTGTGGAACATGGGCTTAGTTGCTCCAAGGCATGTGGAATCTTCTTCCCAGACCAGGGATCAAACCCATGCCCCTGGGATTGGCAGGCAGATTCTTAACCACTAGATCACCAGGTAAGTCCCTGTGTTCTGTTTAATAGGCTTTCTCCCAAGTTACTGAACATGCATTATTAATCTGTCACTCATGTTTCCTTCTTTAACAACATAACTTCTTGACAAGACTTCTGAAGTATATTAATTTTTAATTAGGAAGACCTCCAAACATGTCTTTAAAACTATGGGGACAATCTCTTAGAAATGTGGTTTTTATTCTTGGTAAGAAGAGATGGGTGATGTTCTACTTTGGTAAAACAAGATTCAAGGTTTTCCTCAAAAGAGCCCTTGGTAGTGGATGTACTGTTCCACTAACATTAGACTTATTTGCACAGTTCACCCAAAGGTGTTTTTAAATTGTAGCTCTAAAGCTGTAAAGCACACCCTGGTCCTAACTAACAAACTTGAGTATAATCCCATTTTTAATCCCTGGTCATCTGCTAGAAAAATGTAAATGCACGCTTAATTTCAGAATCACCTTATATAATAGGCATGGAAAGAGGCCCAAATCTGACTTAATCAAAATCAGCCTTGTCTCAGGGATCGAACCCAGGTCTCCTGCATGCAGGCAGATTCTTTACCATTTGAGCCACCAGGCAAGCCCTTGCCTCCTAAACCTTAAACCAAAGCAATAAAACAATAACAAGAATTAACCTCTGACTATTCTTCACATCACCCTATGAGTGTGTACCACTACCAATTCTATTTTACTTACAAATAAATCGAGGTGTAAAGAGGTCAAATAATTTGCCTGGAGTCATTGGCAGAAATCGGATCCAAATTGAGGCAGTGTGACTTCAAATTCCAGGGTTTTGGCCTAGGTCTGTCCTATCACAATATATTCTCTATTATTCTCTATTAAATATGTAAGAAATTAATAAGGGCAATCCTCTTTTACTTACCATAACTATTACTAGTCAAGTTCTAATACACCACACATTAAGACAAATGAAGCTGGCAAGTTTTCTTGTATAATACAAATAAGGTATCTGAGTTTTATATGAGACTAGAAACTAAAATCATGTTTATTTTTCTCTATAGAAATCATAACTCCACTAAAACAGGTATCTGGGAGTACAAACGTTTTATTAATATATACACTAGTTGCTGCTGCTGCTAAATCGCTTCAGTCGTGTCCGACTCTGTGCGACCCCATAGATGGCAGTCCACCACGCTCCCCCGTCCCTGGGATTCTCCAGGCAAGAACACTAGAGTGGGTTGCCATTTCCTTCTCCAGTGCATGAAAAATATTATATTACAATAAAAATCTTACCAACTACCCATTAAAAAAACTGCATACCTGAGTTCTTTGGTCTGCAGATCTATAGGATCATGAGTTTCACTGTCCATGTGGAATCGAACTTCTGGAGAAGAAAGAGTCAAAGCCCTAAATAAAATAAGGAGGTGAATCAGTTCTGGGGGCAGTAACAGATATAACTCTGGAAGTGACTCTTAAAACAGAAATGATTAAAGCAAGTGTTGACAGTTTCTCTTTTGAAAGCTTTATGACCACCTGCTAACTTTTATGTTCCTTTATATTTTCACAGATGGCCTAATAGCTTACAGTTCTAAAATCCATTTTAAAAGGCAGGACAACAGCAATATAACAAAATAAGTCCTATGTTTCTCAGGATAAAGAATGTCTTCTATACCCAAAATGAGAGGGTTTGATCAGTTCCATAAAGAACGCAATCAATTGTATTTTATTTACTACAGGAAACAATGTATTAGGGTGACGGATGGTGGAAAAAGGCAAAAGGGAAGCTGCCCTGGTCAAATGAGTAACACCAAAAGATCCTCAGTTCAAAAGTATCTTCCACATACACTCAACCAGTCAATGAGAAGACTAATAAACCACAACTCACGTTACAGATACTGATGGCTATTGGTATCTGAGTACTACGTATCAGATAATACACCAGGCTAAGTGCTTTACATGCACAGCTCAATTAAAGATTTGGCAAGTTCTTCTTTGAAAAGTAAATTCCCACAAGGCAAGCATAATGTGTTTCTACACACCATGAACCTATCTGCATCCGGTCAGCTCCAAATCAACCAAAACCTAAGAATTTCATTGAGGCTGGGTAACTTTGGACAATCACAAAGAAGGGGAAAAGATGAGTTGGGGCAAGTGGGATTCCAAGTCCTTTTTTCCCCAACTCACCTTTACTGCAAGAACTATAGAAGGAATACTAGAGAGGGAATATGCCTTTCTTTCCATGACAAATAACTCAAGAAATACAACAAGGTTCTACACTACAATTAATGTGTTAATTAATACAGCTTGACCTAAAGAGCAAGGTATAATGACCATATTTTGATCATTATTTCTTCACAGAACATTTAAAACATAATGCTTATCCTTTTAGACATATGATAGATAAGACAAAACGTATCCTTCAAGAAGGTGAAAGGTAACCATTTTTTTTAACTGATTGCTTTCTCTATTCACCCTAAGACTGAGAAGACTCAATGATAGGTTTTAGATAGGTTTTACCAGTATATGAGTATCTACTTTCAAAACTAGTAAGTACAGAGTGTTTTTCAAATTAAATAAATAGCTTTTCTGTCCTAATCACAATCTACATAGATACAAATCTACATCTCTTACTTTAAAACTGCCAAAATAGTTTTAATTGGTTTTATTCACTTTGCTTTTACAACAAACCTTCTTCTGATACCTGGCATACTATAAACTTTCAATAAATGAATATGATGAAAAATGTGTTGTTTTGCATTACAAAAGAAATCTAATTATAGTCATCTTATTTACATCTTAATGACAAATTTGAGCAATAAAGTTTTCATTGGGTTTTACTTCGTCAAAATTATCCTTTCAATTTCTTTTCAAATCAGCTTCAAGTGTAGTATTTAGGATCATAACAAAATTCCCAGGAAACTGAAATATGAGTAGAGTTAAGTAGGGGTGGCTCAGCATAAATACCTAGAACATCACTGTCCAGTGGAACATCCTGCAGGGATGAAAATGGTCTCAATCCACCCTATCCAATATGGTAGCCACCAGCCTACATGTGGCTCCTAAGCACTTGGAACATGGCTAGTGTGACTCAGGAACTGAATTTTTAATCTTCTTGAATTTTAGCTTTAATAGGCACATCTTATGAAAACAGCAGAGATCTAGAGTTTGCACTACCCAACAAAACCACTTTCAGCAACCACTGTGACTCCACTGTGGATGGGCACGGGCATCCAGAGACCAACATGTGAAAGGCTCAAGGCTTTACTCTGACAGCTGATGATGTTTTTCAAGAATCAAATTTCTTCCGACTGCTTCAACAGATTTGGGTACGTAGATATTCCTTAAAACTCCTTTGCAGTCAGGCAAATGCAATGATATATAACAGCTAAAAGATGTGAATCTGCCACTAGTGATTAGATATCTCATAAGACTGCTTCAATGTAACCCCTAATCATTTAAAAACTGAAGGTGTTGGATTAAACATGCTCTAAAAATCTCTTCCAACTCTAAGTGCAAGAAGGACTTCATTTGTCTTTATTGAAACATCTGAAAAACAGCGTTCAGTCTTGAAATTCACTGCTAATTAAAATCAGGAACAAGCCATAGAAAAGTCTCAAGAAGATCTTCCCTTCCTACAATTTCTTCAAGATCTTTAACTCAGACATATCAAGGTCTGCAACATAACAGAACTCCTGAACAAACTTCAGTCCAGAATCAAGTTGCTAATATTTAAAAAGGTAGCTAGAAGAAATAGAATATATCTACTTAAGAGTCCCTACTCAGCCTATTAAATAATTCATCATTGTCCATGATAAACACTTCATAAAGAGTTCACAAGTTATAGTAATAGCAGGATAGGTGAATTAAAATAAATCTTAATATTTTTGAAATGTACCCTTTTTCAATTCTTCTTTTTTTCAAAATTTTAGCTAGTTTATTTAGTCCACGGAGACTAGTAGTAATATTATCGTTCATGGCTGCTGAATCAATTCTCATCTGAGCTTCAGCATATGTAAGGGAAGCCTAAAAAAAGAAACCATATATTAATACAAATGCTTATAAAAATCTGGTTTACCTTTGAAAGTTTGTTTCCACTATAAAATATCCATGATTTCAGAAAACCTAAAATCAATAACAAAAGAGATTCCTAGTTATAATATTTATATTCCACACTGATGATTTCTGGTTCACTAACTTTTATCTGATGCATTACACAACATAAGGAAACTTACATTAAAACAAAATAAAATGATAGAACTGTTAAACTCTCATTTCTTTCATTGTTCTTTTAATTCATAGATACTTAGGAAAAATTGAAATAAGATAAAAGGAAGGTTAGATTATTCTTTGATAACGACTGTAAAGTGAAATCATTTCCAGATGACCAGTACTTCCTTACACACAGCAAATAATAAAAGTACGAGTCCAGACATCATGTTTTGTAGGAAATCAGTAAATACCCCAAATTAAATATTTAATCCACGAACTGGAAAGTCATAGTAGGAAAGATCAATTTCCAGTTACAATACAAATAAACAAACAGCTTTCTGCTCTGCTCCTATATTTCCCTCCTCATGGAAAAATGCCACTTTTTAGCCTTTTTTTTTTAAGTTTTATGAGTAAAAATCAGGAATAGTAAAAAAGAGGTGATACAGATCGGGACAGATTCTTGGGAGAACTAACTTATCCACTAGGAGCTAAGTGTTCCTTGTCTAAAAATGTTTTATGTTACACGTTTACCAAGTTTTTTTCATATAAAATTTTGCTAAACTAACCAACTTTGGAAGAATTATAAACTCACCTTATTTAAAAATACAAATCTAGGAAAATTTAAATCATTCACACATGACTCCTTGCCAGTTTCACACTAAGCTTTATTTCCAACCACTAGCTAATCAGAAAAGAATGATGTCAAAAAGAGAGAAAAAGCAGGTAAACTTAGAAAATAGATCACTGGAAAAAGAGGGTTTCCACCTCCCAGAATATTGGAAATAAAAGCAAAAATAAACAAATGGGACTTAATGAAACTTAAAAGCTTTTGCACAACAAAGGAAACTATAAGCAAGGTGAAAAGACAGCCCTCANGAAACAAAAGCAAAAATAAACAAATGGGACCTAATGAAACTTAAAAGCTTTTGCACAACAAAGGAAACTATAAGCAAGGTGAAAAGACAGCCTTCAGATTGGGAGAAAATAATAGCAAATGAAGAAACAAAGCATTGATCTAAAAAAATATACAACTACTGCAGCTCAATTCCAGATAAATTTGTCTTTCAAACATATACGGTAGTCTGTGATTGACTTCTGACCATGGTCGCACAGGAAAGAGGTGGTAAAGCTAAGATGTGAGCTCAAGTGTTTTGGCTTCTAGGAGGTGCTAGAGGTAAAGAACCTGCCTGCCAATGCAAGAGATATAAGGACGCAGGTTTGATCCCTGAGTCAGGAAGGATCCCCTGGAGAAGGAAACAGCAAACCACTCCAGTATTCTTGCCTGGAGGATCCCATGGACAGAAGAGCTTGGTGGGCTACAGTCCATAACATCACAAAGAGCCAGACATGACCAAAGTGACTTAGCACGCGAACACATTCTGGCTTCTGTTCCCTTGCCTTTAATAAGCTAATTGTAATTCTAGGCCTTAACCAAGTATAGTGTGATTAAGGCACTGAAGATGACTGAGTGTGCCCAGGTGCCAGAAGATAAGAGAGAGGATATTAGAAGATGAAGTTGGAATTGTGTGTAGCCATATAGACCATAAAAACTTGGGATTTTACTATAAGAGCAATAAGAAACTATAGGTGGGTTTTAAGTGGATTAGTGATAAAAATCTCATTTGTGATTTTAACATAACAGTCTGCCATGTAGCAAATGAATTATATGAGCTAAGAGAACTATTTCAGTGGTCCATGTAAGCAATAATAGCTTAGACAAAAGTAGTATGGTAAAAATGGAGAGACATGAATTGGATTTATTTATATGTTGAAGATAGAGTCAATAAGGCTTTCTATTGGATTGGGAAGAAGCTAGGGAGGAAAAAGACAGAACCAAGGGTAATAATTAAAATTTTTAGCTTTAAGCTGGAAGGGATAGGTACTGGTGCCATTTATTAAAATAGTGAAAATTGGGAGAAGAATAGTTTAGGGTTAAAATCAATAGTTTTTTTTTTCCTTGAACATGATATATTTAATAGGCCTAGGATAAATATGCAGTTAGAAATTTATACATCTGGAGTATTTTAAAGAGTGTGAGCCTAGAGGTGTACATTTGGGTGTAGTTAGCACTGAGAAGGAAGGTTTATTCATTGGGCTAAATAAGGTTAGCTACAAAGTGTCCCAACTTAGTTTGAGCAGAAATATTTGAGCAGAACTAGTGTGACTTGCAAAGAAGACTGGTCAAGTGATGTCAGACAGGAAAGAGAAAAAGTAGGAGAGAGTATAAATGAGCATAAACATTTCAAGGAGGAAATGCTCCTGAAATGTCAATTAAGATGAAGACACAGATGTCACCCTTGGATCTGGTATCAAAGAAGACATTTTGATAAAGTCATTTATCTGTGTTTTAAACAAATTTACTGAAGTACAATTGAGATACAGTAAATAAACTTCTTATATTTAAAATGTAATCTACTAGAAAAATTTTGACATTAAACATACATCCATGAGGGCTTCCCAGGTGGCACTAGTGGTAAAGAACCTGCCTGCCAATGCAGGAGATATAAGAGATGCAGGTTTGATCCCTGGGTCGGGAAAATCCCTTGGAGGAGGGCAGGGCAACCCATTCCAGTATTCTTCAGTGGTGTATCCCAATGGATAGAGGAGCCTGGTGGGCTACAGTCCATAGGGTTCCCCAGAGTCAGACACAACTGAAGCAACTTAGCAGGCATGCAGGCATACATCCATGGAGCTATCCCTGTGACCAAGAAAATTAACATATTTGTGCCCCTGAGAGTTTTGTTCCCCTGAATAGTCCTTCCCTCCTTTTCCTCCCTAGGAGGAATTTGTCCTCATCTTTTTGTCCTTGGCCAAGCATTTTCTGGCATTGTCACTATGCATTAGTTTGATTTTTTAGAATTTTATGTAAATGGAGTCATACAGCATGAATTACTTTTTTTCTGACTTCTCTTACTTGATATAATTTGAGATTCATCTCTGCTTTTGTGTGTTATCATCTGCTTTTATTGCAGAGTAGTAACCCACTGTATGAATGTTTCTCAATGGTTTATCATTTATTTGGGAAGGACAGATAGGTTGTTTTCAGTTTGGGCTGCTTAAATTAAGGCTTCTATGACAAAAATTAAAATTAAAAACTATGGGTGGATCATATGATATGGTAAATTGTTTGAAAACCTGACACACTATTTTCTTCTCATGGCCTATAATATTGATGTCATATTCAAGAAACTTCTGTATAACCCAAAGTCGTCTTCTAGAAGTTTCACAGTTTTAAGTTTGACATTTAGTCCTATGGTCCATGTTTTGAATTAACTTTTGAATATGATATAGAGTATGAATTAAAGTAAATTTTTTTTTGCATATGGGCATTAAATTGTTGTAGCAATACTTGTCTGTTCACCACTGAGTTTCCTTTGGTCTTTGTCAAAAATTAGTTGTCCATTTATGTCTGGATCTTTTGGGAACTCTCTGTTGTGTTACATGGAAACAGACATCTTTTTTAATTCCAGTATTATACTATCATGGTTATTGTAGCTATAAGTCTTTAAGTCAGGTAGCATTTGTTCTCAAGCTTTGTTCTTTCTCAGATTCTTTTGACTGTTCTAGGTCCTTAATATTTCCTTATAAATTTTAAAAACCAGTTCATTAATTTCTGCAGAAGTGTCTGCTGTGATTTTGTTTGGGCTTAATGTTGAATCTACAGATCAATTTGGGGGAGAATTGACATTCTCAGAGTATGTCTTTATATTTATTTAGAGCTGCCTTTCTGTCAGCAATCTTTAATAGTTTTCAATATATAGTTCTTTGCCATATTTTACTAAATTTCTTCTAAGTATCTCAAAGTTTTGAATCTTTTATAAATTGGATTTTATTGCACTTCACTTTCCAATTGCTTGCAGCCAGTTTCTAGAACTACAGTTGTTTTTCTTTGTATTAACCTTGTAATTTGTCATGTTAATACTGAAGTCACTTACTTATTCTAGTAGTGTTGTTGTAGTTCTGTAGGATTTTCTGTGATGATCATGTCATCTGAAAATAATGGAAATATTATTTTTTCTCTAATCTGATGCTTTAAAATTTGTTACCTTGCTTGATTGTTCTGACTCGTATCTCTAGTACAGTGTCTTAATAGAAGTGATGAGGGCAGACATCCTTGTCTCTATTTTCTAAATATTATGTTGAAAGTGAAAGTCACTCAGTTGTGTCCTACTTTTTGTGACCCCATGGACTATATAGTCCATGGAATTCTCCAGGCCAGAATACTGAAATGGGTCAGCCTTTTCCTTCTTCAGGGGATCTTCCCAACCCAGGGATCAAACCCAGATCTCCCATGTTGCAGGCGGCTTCTTTATCAGCTGAGTCACAAGGGAAGCCTAAGAATACTGGTGTGGTAGTCTATCCTTTCTCCAGCAGATCTTCTGGACCTAGGAATTGAATTGGAGTCTCCTGCATTGTAGGCAGATTTTTTACCAACTGAGCTATAGCTGTAGGTTTTTTGTAGATGATATTTATCCATTTGAGGAAATTTCCTGTGTTCGTAGTTTTGCTGTGAATTTTTATCAGGAATGGATGCTGGATTATATCAGATGCTTTTCTTGCACCTAACCAACTATGACATGGTTAGGAAAAATTACCTAAACTTGGTAAACAGTCAAGCCCACCAGCTGGTCTGCAAAACTCTTGAGGTGCTCCAGGCCAAAGAGCTAGCTTGTCCTGGTAGGACACAACCTCATCTACCAGTAAAGTGACTGCTGTAGGCCACCCTGACTACCCAGCCTTACTCTCCAGTGGGCTGAAACCAGTCTAGGACCCTGGGTCTGGCAATCAGAGATACCTGGACCCATCTCTATCAGTGAGTAACCATAGCCCCAGGACCTGG